TCTTCTTTGATTATTTGTTATTCTTGCATTAAGTAGTCTTTTTTTTTTTACATCGTTTTCTTCCCATCAAAGGTAATATTGGTTTAATTTCATTAGTAGTTTCTTATTCTTTTTGTAAAAATAAAATTGATTAAAAATTTTGACAGTAGTTTGATTTTCTTTTTTGTGGCTTTTTATGGTGGGTTTTTAAATTTTTGTTTGAAATCTAATGTTGGTTTTGGGTTGATGAAACGGTATTATCTAAAAAAGTGCTAATTATGAAGTTCTTTTAAATTTTTTGTATGTACTAAATTAAGTAAATTTATATTGTTTATGCTAAATTTCTTAATTAGTTTTCTTTTACTTTTCCTTTTTTATTCAGTGATGGTGTTTTTTTTTATAAAAAAAAAACATTCGTTTTCTTATATTGATGTTTTTTTATGGGATAAAGATACGTACACCCACTGGTTCAACACTGGTGGGTGCACATATTATAAAATAAGGGTTTTTCCTGTATAAACCAAATAAATGTAAGAATAAAATTACAAATTTAACCTTCCTCCTCTTTTTCTTCAATCATCCTCTAATCACCATTTTTACCCATCATCTTCGATCTTCATCATCCTCCACCTTCATCACCGATCATTCTTCTTCATCATCAATCACCCATCTCTAATCTTCATCACCTTCATCACTGATCATTCTTCTTCTTTCCCTCACCTCTTTCTTTCTTCTTCTTTTCTTTTTCTCTCTCTCGGTGGAGAACCCAAGCTGGGTTCTCTGACCCAGCTCGGGTTCTCACCAGAGAAATTCTGATTTTTTTTTTTTTTGGATGGATGGATTTGGTGAAATGCTTGAGTTTTCTTGGGATTTGGTTGTTGAATGTGCTTGAATGCTTGAATTTTGCTAGGATTTGGTTGTTGAATGTGCTTGAATGCTTGAGTTTTGTTGGGATTTGTTCCATGGGAAATTGATTTAGTAAGAAGGGTAAATTTGTAATTTTACTGTTTAAACCAATTTGGGTGTAAAAATGGGTGCCGGTTCATGGGTGTACGTATCACTATCCTTTTTTATGTAAGGAGTTTGCTTCCACTTTAGTTATTTGTTACTCCCACATTTAAAGATTAGTTCATTCTACTTCTTTTTCTTTATAATAAAAGTAATATTAGTTTATTTTTGATCTAATAATTGATTATTCCTTTTTACGAAAATAATTTCAATTTCTTTGAATACTTTTGTAGAAATATTGTTTTATTTATTAACTTATACCATTCTAAATGACATGGATGTTAACAAATGAGTGCCAAATATATTTATGTAATGTTTTAATCTTTTTCATTTTGCGTATTATTCTCATATTTGTTAAAAATTTATATGATCATGCCATGAGATATGCACTTTTATTTTTATCATCCATGGGTTGTTAATCTTATTTTCTATCATTTTCTTATGTTGAGTTCTTT